GAATCTCAAACAAATCCAACAGATGGACTCTTTCTGATTCCTTCTTCGCTTTTTTTTTGGGGACATTTAGGCCATTTAAGGCAAACTCACACACACAACGCATACACAAAGACTCGAACCCAAGACCTCTTAGTTAGAAGCATAAGCTCTCAACCAACAGGTCAAGGTGAGTTATGTGATTCATGTTGACCTCAATTTTAGCTCGAGCATCCTCGAGGGCCTTTAATTGATTTAATCGAGCCTCATCGAGCCCGATTCAAAAAGAGTTTGCATTGATTCTGGTTTAATTTCATTAATTAAATTTTGTCAAGCCTGATTTCAACTCAAATCTAATTTAAATTAAGGCTCTATTGACTTTCTCATGACTTGAAATTGTTCCCAAATCAATAAAACAATCCAACGACAGAGATTTCATCAAAATTCAAATACTAGCCGTTGCTTTGATCCACTCACGCAAGATACTCGCTTTGAAGGCATGAGCATGATTTTTGCGAGCTTCCACTCCTTGCATTAACAGATATTTACTCCAAGCATTGGCAAAGGCCTGGGGTCGGCGAGAAAATTTTTGGGGAAATGGCTCTCTTGTTCGGGATTTTCAGGCGCCCGCTCCTTTTCTCTGCCTTGGTCTCTCTTTCTTTCGGAGCAGGCTAAGAGACCGACGGCCCCTCTCTGATTTGCGAGCCCCTCCCCGTCTCTACTAGGGTTCGCACGAGCTAGGAGCGGAGCCCTCTTCTCCTCCACTCGTCTCCTGCTTGATCGAACCCGGACAAGGCTGAAGTCTCCTCCGATTTGGCCTCGCCCTAGCTGCCTGCCTTCTCTAGTGCTCAGCCCAGGCGAAATCTGCTCCCGTCGCTCCTAGCCGCCGGCGTCCTATCACCTGCAAGGTGAGCTTCTTCCCTTCCATAGCAGCAAGTATACACACCTCTTCTTCTTTCTTCCATTCTTCTACTTCTTCTTCTTCTCCTACTTCCCCTCCTCTGCTTCTTCTTTATATTTCTTATACATGTATGCAATGGGGAGAAGAAAGTGTACATCAAATCTTTATCTGGTTGTGATATTTCGAATGGGTGAGATCTCCATATTCTCTTCTTTTGACAAGTGTTTTAATGTGTGGACGAGACACTTATCTTGAACCCGTAAGATCAGTCACTTGAATTCTTTTTTTTTTCCTAAAGGTTTGTGATGTGGTAGGCTTAAATACATGAAGAGCAATTTGTGTTATTCCTTAGATACTGCATACTAAATGTTTGATAAAATGCCACCGAAGAGCGTTGCTTTCATTTGTATCAGGCATCTCTCCTAGTTCTCTGGTTTAAAAAAAAAAAGAGATGGCAATGACTCTTGATTTTTTTTTTTTATATATGAGTACCGAACATTTTCATAATTTATTTCACATAAGGCATGTGTTTCTTTCCTTTTTATGGGCATGTTCCTCATTTGGATGCTTTGGGGTTTTGAATTTCAGTTTGAAAAGATCAAACTTCTTGATGTTTTATGTCTGGATTTTCATCCAGAACTTGCACTCATGTAATATTAGCATGTTGTGATTCCCATAAATGATTATTATATTTTTGTTCCATATGTTAGACTTTGCTGATCGTTGATATTTACTTTAATAGAATGGTATTGAGGGGAGCATAAGTGAAGCATGCACGTTTCTTTTTGCTCATGTATATGGATCAGAACATGATTGTTTCTTCATCTATCGCTCCTTACTCTTCTTCCATCCATTGCTTGTAGATTCAATATCATGTCACTGTTGGGATGGTTATCGCATAAATCACGAGTAACCTTGTGTAGATTGGTTAGTCAAATTCAATCGAGCAGGTGTTTAAGTCATGATTTTCATGTTAACTTGTTTTATGTGACTTTGTAAACATTGCATATCAAGTGTTTGATGAAAGACCCCCAAAGGAAAGCCATAGGTATTTGCTCGCATTAAGGCTTTATGTGGTGAGTTGGTTTATATAGAGGCTTGTTGGAATGTGCTTATGAGTATCAAACATCACTCTGAATAATGGGATTACTTTCTCTTGCTATATTAATGAAGCCAGTAGCATGATAGTTTGTTCCTCCTCCTTGGAAAATGAAGAATAGCTTTCATTCATGTTCTTGAGATAATCTGAAATGATGTAATAAATTTATTTGCCTTCTTTTTATTTATTTTTGTGGACTCATGCCATGAGTGGGGGAGATCGACATGTGCTAATTTGTTGCATTCTTAAATCCATTCGACACAAACTTTGAGTTGGAATAAGTAGATGAGGTAGAGATTTGGCATACACTTGTATATTATTAAATGCTTCAGTTATTCTATGAAAGACACTTAGCTAAGACAATCATATGCTTTCATTCTTTCTTTCATGAAGTATTTTGGAGAAGGCTTAAGAGCTTTGGAAGTTGGAAAGTAGAATATGGGGGTTGTTAGAGATTCTTTGCTTTAGGAATTATGACATTGGTACGTCTTCCTTATGATTATCAAAATCTTGTTACCTCTTGGCTTTGTGAGCTTGTGAATGTAAATCTGGTAATATATATATATATAGTCCGAAGCTTTCTTAGACCATTTGATAGCATATGATGTAGAGTTGGTTGGAGAGCAACCATGAGCTTC